CCCCTTTCCCCCCCAGCACTTATCATTTGTTACAGTGAAAATTGTTAAAGTTGGCTCTCACCTGGACTTTGTTTTTCCAGGTCTTACAGGTTTTTCGAAGGCTGTTGGGATGTGAGCTGCGTTTCTAACCACAAGGCCAGTAGTTCAAATCTACTAGTTGCTCCAAGGTAGAAAGGTGAGGCTTTCTGTTCCCATGAAGATTTAAAGCCTCGGAAACCTTATACGGGGTCGCTATGAGTCAAAATCAACTTGGTGGTATACAACGATCACCACAGGTTTTTCGCTTTTGACAGAGTACAGTCTTACCACACTTCTTTCGCTTGGTTTAGTGAAAATATTTGCGTTTTCCTTCTCTGACAGGTTCCGGCTTCCACAGGTTTCGCTGCATCTACTTGTTTGTTTACTATCTGTGACCCCCATCAGACTTTAAGAGGGCAAAGACATTATGTGTTTTTCTTCACTGTAACTAGTGGCACAGTGGAGTCCTGGTGTGGTGCTTTAAGATAAGCACTGGACTACTAACCACAAGGTTAATGCTTCAAACCCACCAGCTGCTCCTTGGAAACCCTATGAGTTGGAAATGACTCGACAGCCCTAAACAACAGCAAGTGACACAGTGGGTTAAATGTTAGGCTGCTAACTGAAAGATCAGCAGTTCAAATCCACCAGCTGCTCCTCAGGAGAAAGATGAGGCTTTCAGCTCCCATAAAGATGTGCAGCCTCAGAGACTCTGTGGAGCAATTTAAGTCTGCCCTAGAGGGTCACTGGAGTCCAAGTCGACTCAGTGGCAGTGGGTGTAGAACAGCACAGACACCTGTGGTACCCGGGAAACTGCACAGTACACGTACACACGCTGTCACGTGTACATACATGGGCCCACGGGCATACGGATTATAGGTGAGGCTGAATCATAGACAAGGCAAAGACAGTATTTATTAAGCCAGACTCAGGCTCATTTTTAGTCCCATTTGGAATTAAACGACTCTGTGCAGTTGGTTGAGTCCTGCAGGCTGGATAAGGCCACCAGCAAGGCCAAGGCCTCAGGCCAGTCCCAGCAGAAGGAACAGTCCTTGGGCTCCACAGCTGCTACCCTGGAAGGACACTGAATGCTACAGCAGGGTCTTGTAGCCCTAGCCAATGCCTGCTGAGGAAAGGCAACTGGAGCAGGAAAGGGAGAGAGGGAGGGAAGGAGGGAGGAGGCTGACGTGTCTGCAGCAACCCGAAGAGGAGTTGGCAGGCAGCCAGGGAACCTGGCCAACATGCCTGAGGGAGGACCTGTCTGAGGGAGGATCTGTTGGCCTGAGGTGTGAAGGTGGGGGAGGGAGAGGTGGAGACTGTGAGGACTAGGGCTCTACTCTAAAATGGGGGAAGGGCAGGGGTCAGGTGGGGACCCTTGTTTACCAACTGTACCCCCTGGCCCTGGACTGCATCCACCCAGAGGGGTGCCTTTACCCACTCCCTCAAAGATGACCGACACCAAGGGGAATTCAAGTCCTGAGTTTAAGTCTCTGCTTCATCATCCTATGCTGAGGAACCTTGGGAAACACTCTTGGACTCTACTTTCCCTATCTCTAAAATGGGGATTTAATTTCAGTACAGTCCTCATACTGAAATCTTCCATCTCCTTCCCAGCAGCCAATTCCACATGTAAACCCCTCCTGCACCTTAAGTTCCTGTGTCACCTTCACATGACACTGTCCCTGCCCTGCAGTATACTGTGTTGGTCCCCAAAATTCCACGTCATGGAATTTTCCGAAGGCCTTAGACTATGGTTTTTACTGTGTTAAATTCCTCCAAGGACTCCTTCAAACCCTCACAATCCAACTGAAACTGCTCTCCTCCTTCCAGATCCTGCTTGATCTGAACCCCTCTCTCTTGCTCACTCTCCAAACACCCCTTACTGTTCTACAGTGACCTTGCGGCTCCTCAGATTGTCCCAGCCTCCGTGCCTTTGCACATGCTGTTCCCTTTGCCTGGAATCATTTTGTGTTGGGCTCCTTCTCCTCCTTCCAGACTCAGCCAAATGTCACCTCCTCAGAGAGAGTGGGCATAGTGCAGATTCATTCCTTCATTCCAGCTTCCCTAGCAGAAGGTCAGCTCCATGAGGACCTGGACTTTGTTGAGTTTATTGCTACGGTCCCAGTGCCCAGCACAGAAGCTAGTGTCAGGGATGGGCTGGTAAATATTGGGAAAAGAGCAAATGAATACACAGATGAAATGCAGCCCTCTCCTGATAATGTAGCTGAATGTTTGATTGCATCTTACTGTCTGACACAAATGATTTAAACCAAAAAAAAATGTTGAATGAATGAATGAAATGCTGTTCGTTGGACACTGGTATCAGGTACTAATGTTTGATGAGAGAATAGATTATTGTAATTTAGCATCCTCCAGTTGTAAAAGGTGTTCTAAAGAAAAAAGCAGGGGGGAAGGAGAGGAGAGAGATCACCAAATGGGTGCCTACAGCTATTGAGCATTGCCCCAGGCTCAGCCCTCCTCCACTCCCATGCCCGCCCCCAAGATGGGACCCCAGCCTCCCTCCAGGTCTTCCCTCCCCACCTTCCCTCTGAGTTCCTGCAGGGCCTAGATGTCCCTGGAACTGCCAGGCAGAGTCAGGGGAGCAGTTCCTGCTATGCAGGGAAGTCATAAGCTCCAGGAAATGAAGGCTTCCTAGCGGTGCCCCCTTCTCACCCATAACTCCAGCCTTATTATGACCAGCCCTGGCTATAACGCGGGGAATCACAGCCAGGTCCCCAGAGGCAGTGGCTCATGGCTTATAGATGGGGGCCACCCAGTGGGGGAGGGTCTTCAAACATCCCTAGATTTCACCTTGATTCTCAGGCCCCAGACACTGCTGGGGAGAAGGTGGTAGGGATGGTCAGCCACACTTCTACCCCCAAATCTATAAGGCGGGACCTAGAGGGGAGCCCTGAACAGCTTGTTGAGGATCCTCCATTGTCTACTGCCCTGGAGATACAATTTTAACCCTTTCAGCATTACCCCTCCCTTTCCACCCTGAAACCCCTTCTATAACGAAATGCTAGCGCCACCACTGGACGGGGTCAGGCTTCTGCAAACTGGGAATGACACACCCCATTTCAAAGTTGCTGTCATTTGATGTGACAAAAAGGCGTGACAGTTGCCACACACACACACACATACACATAATGCTGGAGTCCTGGTATGGTGCTATGGGTTAATGCACTGGACTGCAAAGTCAGTTTGAACCTCAAGGTCTGCAGTTCAAGCTCATCAGTCGCTCCTTGGAAGCCCTATACAGTGTTGCTATGGGTCAGAACTGACTCAATGGCACTTAACAACAATAACCCATAATGCTGAGTTTAAGGAGATGGTCAGTCTGTTTTCTTTCATACTTCCTTTGCCCTTAGGAGGACCTGCCTGGGACCAGGTCAGTCCCCTACCTCACCCACACTGAGCCACAAGCCCGTGATCCCAACCTGAATTCCCCAAATAGCCAGACCACTACCCAGTCGCCATGCACACCCCTCTGCCTGGAAGGCCCGCCTTTCCTCCCATCTCTGACTGCTCAGGTACCCACTCCTCTAAGAAGCACCCCCTAGTTCCCCAGTACCCACTTCACCCTTCCAAACACTTGAGCCCATCACTCCTTAACTCTGGGCCCCCACACCAATTATCTCCCCTTCTGTAGCCCTGATCCCCTGGTATTTAGGTTTTTAGAGAATAGTGGTTAAAGGGCTCAACTACTAATCTAAAGGTCATTGGTTTGAACCCACCAGTAGCTCCTCTCCATGAGAGAACAATGTGGCAGCTAAGTCAGTAAAGATTTTACAGCCTTGGCCCTTCTGTGTCCAACAGATTCCATCAGCCAGAATCCACTAGATGGCAAAAGGGGTTCGGTTTTGATTTGTCTCCCACCCACCAACTGTGAGCTTCTCTTTGCCCCCAGCATCCAGCCCAAGCCTGGTCCATGGGTAAAGCTTCTTGGGATGGAATTGTTTTACTGCACAGAATTGGGTGTGGTAAGGGGAGCTGTAGGCATTGAACCCCTCACCTCCATTCACTCGGCATGATGCCTGAAATGCCTCCATTACAGCAGTACTGCTGTCCCCTGTAAACACCCACATTAAGCCATTATTCATCATTATGGCTTGAGTAGGAGTTAGTCCCTCAGATCCTTTCCTGCTGAAAGCTGGATCTGATGGAGGGAGGGAAAGAGAGATGGATTGATCTGGGGTTGACAGCAGAGGTCTAGGTTGGGGGAGGTGAACGGTCTCAGATGCTGGGAAAGAAAGGTTTTCTGGAGGGATGTGAAGACAACTAAAGCAAAGCTCAGAGAGGTTGTGGCCCTGCCTAAAGCCACACAGCATGTCTCTGAGCAAAGCCCTCTGGACTCAAATACTCCATCCTAGAGTGGGCTGTGGAAGCAATGACGTGAGACCAGAGCATCTTTCTTCTCAGGACTGCTACAAAAAGGGGGAATGGAGTCCTGGTGTGTCATTTGTGGTTCAAGCGCACCAGCTGCTCCTTGGAAACCCTATACAGAGTCGCTATGGGTTGGAAGTGGCACTTAACAACAACAGAAAGGGGGAGGGGGCTGGGGCTGGACTCAGACCTGGGAGGAGGGATCTTGAAGACCCTTGAAGATTTCTGCATTGGAGACTGGGCTGGCAAGATTATCAGTCGGGATTATCAGTCAGGGAAGGCCACTCCAAAGGTCCCTGCTCCTCCTGACATGGACCTCTGAAAAGACTCTGAGTGAGGGGTTGTGGGAAGGGGGAGGAAGTACTAGGAGAGGGTGGGAGTTAAAAAGAAGGACCTTAGGCCGGGAGCGGGGCAGAGGGTGCCTAGTAAACTCTGAGCTGTAAGGCACAGACACAAGATCAGTGGTTGTTGTATGTCTCTCACCCGCCGTGCCAGGCACACAGTAGGTACTTAGTTAGCACCTAAAGGAGGAAAGATCGACCCAAGCTGCCCTCCATCCAACACAGAATTGATGTCTTGTCTCTTTTGCAGGCTCTTGGACAGGACGGCCCCGGGACCTCGAAGGGTCAGCCGGCGCCAGCCCGCACCCTCTCTGCGCAGGGCCCATCGCGCACACAAGAGTAAGGAGCTGCGCCCCAGCCACCTGCTGAGCCAACCGCAGCGCCGCGTGGGGGGCGCGGGCGGTGGCCCCGGGGACCGTCCATGCCCCGGGCGCGGCCGCGCCCCCTCCCCCTACAGCCGCGCGCCCCCGCGGCCGGGCGCCGTTCAGGGCCGCGGGCCTGTCCGGGAGCCCCTTCGGGGGCGTCACCCCGGCGGCCGCGAGGAGTCCACCATGTGACGCGGCGCTGTTCTGGTGTGTGACCGAGCAGCGGCGCCCTGCTGCCTCCCGTCCATGCTCCTGGGTCCCGGTTTCACGCAGGCCAAGCATGAGGCCACGGCCCGACGGTCGGGGACTGCTGGCTGGAGCCGCGCTGTCTCCCGCACTGCTCCTCTTGCTCCTGCTGCCACCTCCGCCGCCGCTGCCGGGACGTCTATGGGCGGCCTGCACGCCCGCACCGTCGGCGCCAGAGGCTCTGGAGGACAGCGAGTCCGGTGCGGGCCGAGTGAAGCGCGGCTGGGTGTGGAATCAGTTCTTTGTGGTGGAGGAGTACACGGGCACCGAGCCCTTGTACGTGGGCAAGGTAAAGTGGGGGCCCCACACCTGCTGTCCAGCCCCGAAAGCCTGGGGATACCCACTGGAAGGGAGACCAGTACCCTGCTCTCCTAAATCATGCCCCTTCATTCCAGCTCTCCTAGTCTCCTAGTTGTCTCGCCAGGGGCCTACAGGGTCATACACCACTCCCTTCTCTTCCTGCCACATTCCTTTTGCATCTTATGCTAATGGTGGTAGTGTGCGGGGTGGAGTGGGTCACCACTCAGTTGTTGTTAGGTGCCATCAGATGGTTACCAACTCATAGTGACCCTGTATAGGGTTTCGAGGCTTTAAATGTTTACAGGAGCAGAAAGCCTCATCTTTCTTCCGCAAAACAGCTGGTAGCTTTGAACTGCTGACCTTGAGGTTAGCAGCCCAACTCAAAACCACTATGCTACCAGAGCTCCTTAGAGCATGCTCATATGTGAACCCAAATCATCGTGGAGGCAGAGGCATCTGAAACCTAAAAGCAAGCTTGCAAATCAGAGCATGTCACACACTCCCCACTCTGCTTAAAAATTTTCAATAGCTTCCCACACATTTGGTCAAGCTCAATTCTATCCCAGCCTACAAAGAGCTGGCTCCCCCTCCAGTCCCATCTCTCTCATCATCCTTGGTCTCTGAGTTTGTGCCACGCTGACCCCCTGGTGCCTTTCTCACCATTCCTCATATGTCCCCCACACTTTCACGACACTGTTTCCTCGCCCTGAACTCCTCTTTCCATTAACAACCTTACACTCATACTCCAGGTCTGTGCTCAATTGCCACTTCCTCAGAGAAGCCCTGCCTAGCCACGCCCCCAGGCTAGGACCCTCCCTTGTTCTGGAGCCCTCTGAGATCCCTGTGTCTTTCTTCTTAACAATTTTCATTGTCTGTTTCATTCTGCAATTAATGTATGTCTTTCTTAATAGTCCGTGTCTGCTTTGCATATTAGAGTCCAACTGCCTAGCTCAGTCCTGGTGTGGCTCTATGGGTTAAAGTGCAGGACTGCAGAGTTGGTTTGAACCACAAAATTGGAGGTTCAAGCTCACCAGCTGCTCCTCGGAAACCCTATACAGGGTCGCTATGAGTGGAACCAACTCAACGGCACACACAACAAGAAGCAAAGGAGCAGAAAATCTCATGTTGCTCCTGAAGAGCAGCTGGTGGGTTAGAACTGCTGACCTTTCCGTTAGCAGTCTAGTGCTTATCCTACAATGTCATACCAGGGTTCCATATTTATGCACTTGTTATTAAGTACTGTTGAGTCAGTTCCTAGGTTTCCAAGGAGTAGCTGATGCTTTTGAACAGCCAAGCTTGCAGTTAGCAGCTCCTTAGGCTCTGGTAGCATAGTGGTTACGAATCGGGCTGTGAACCTCAAGGTCAGCAGTTCGAAACTACCAGCCGCTCCGCGGGAGAAAGATGAGGCTTTCTACTCCCGTAAAGATTTACACCCTCGGAAACCCTGTACAGGGTCGCTATGGGTCGGAACCGACTCGACGGCACTTAACAACAACAACAACTTATCCTAGAGTGTCAAATGAGGATGCTTTTAACAACTGTTCTTTCTTGATGTTGGAGTTCTGGTGTGGCGCTGTGGGTTAATGCACCAGACTGCCAAGGTCGGCAGTTCAAGCTCACCAGCTGCTCCTCGGAAACCCTATACAGGGTGACTATGGGTCGGAACTGATTCAACGGCACTTAACAACAACAACAACAACGTTGCAGTGGAAGTACAGTGGCACCAGAGAATAAGCACTGGACTTGAACCATAAGGTTGGCACTTCAAGCCCACCAGTTGCTCCATGGTGATCCTACAAAGAGCTGTTGTTGTTAAGTGGTGTCAAGTTAGTTCTGACCCATAGTGACCATGTATAGGGTTTTCCAAGGAGTGGTCGGTGAGCTTGAGCTGCAGACCTTTCAGTTCAAACCGATTTTACAGTCCAGCGCATTAACCCACAATGCCATGCCAGGGGTCTGTACAGTCTCAGAAATCCTATACAAAGGCACTATGAGTTGGCACCAACTCTACAGCACTTAACAACAACTATGTTGTAGTTGAGTCCTGGTATGGCGCTGTAGGATAAGCAAGGGGCTGCTAACCATAAGCTACTCCTTGAAAGCCCTATACAGGGTCGCTTTGAATCAGAACTGACTCAACATTAACAACAGCACAGCACAGATATGGAGCCTCGCTGTGGTGTAGGATAAGCACTGGTCAGCAGTTCAAGCCCACTGATTGCTCTGCATGAGAAAGATGAGACTTTCTGTTAAAGATTTATGGCCTCAGAAACCCTATACAGGTTTTCGCTATGTTGGGATCAACTCGGTGGCAGTGAATCGGAGTGAATCAGCATAGATAGGGAGCCCTGGTGGTACAGTGATTAAGCTCTTAACTGCAGATCAAAAGATTGGCAGGTCAAACCCACCTACCCCACAGGAGGAAAGATTTGGCAATCTGCTCCTGTAAAGATTACGGCCTACTCTGTCTTGTGGTGCTTATTAAATTGAAATCAACTCAACTGCATACAGCAAGCACAGCATTGTTCACAAGCAGCTTGTTGAATGAATGAATGTAAGCACTCTTCAGACCCTCTGAGAATATGCTGGTTAATCTGGATGAACATTTGTGTCCAGGACTATCAGGATCTGAGAGTGGCTGGGATCCTTCCATTCAATCCCTGAGGCCCTTGTGTGGCTCAGGCTTGATCTGGGAAAGTAAAAATGAGAAGATTCAGCCTTTGCCATTTGGAAACTCCCCAGAGTGAGGGACACCCCAGTGCATATAAAGTCTTGCAAGGCAGCATCTGGCCCTGAATAGGCAGGCATTCAATAAATGGCCTCTTGGCTGGTTTCACAGAGGGGAAAACACTTGAGCAGGGATTTGATTTGTAATTAGGAGTTCAGGGTTTCAGTGTATGAGTAGGAGTTCTTCAGGATGATGGGAGAGAGGGCAGATCTTATGCACATTCTTGGAGGCCTGAAATATCTTGATTTGCAAGAGTTAGGGTGTCAGAGTGGAGTCTGTTCATAGGGCATGAATGGGGGCTGCTGCCAGGGACAGTCAGTTCTCTGGCTTCCACCAAAGCCAGTCAGCTTTCCAGGAAATTTTGGAGAGAAAGTGGGGAGGCCTGAGCATTGGAAGGCTGAGCAGGACCCTTAGTTCTGAGAGTCAGGGATCAAGACCTTTGTCAAGGAGAATTTAAACCTTTGTCTTATAGGAAACCCAGATTTTCTGTGGTCTAGATTCCCCTCCATACACATGGCTGAAGTTAGTCCCCACAACTGAACAAAGCGAGGAGGGACAGATGGAACTCAGAAACCTAGTGGTATAACCTAGGACCCCTGACTCCCAGCCTGAGCACTGAGATGGCAGAGCTGGTAGGAATGGGGAAGGAGGAATTGGTGCCACCCACGTGCTGGGTAATAGTGATGCAGCTAAGAACACAAACTTTGGAGTCCAGCAAACCTGAATTCCAGACCTGGCACTTCCAACGCATTAACCGTGTGAGTTAAGTTAATTCACCTCTCTGAGCCTCAGTCTCCTCATCTGTAAAAATGCGGCTGAACCCACTTCCTGGTGTTGTTGAGAGAGTTCAAGGAGAAAAATGAGTGTGTAAAGTACTCAGTCTGGGGTCTCTTGTTTGGTTGGGGTCTTAAGTTATTCCCATATAACGTGCTTTACCTTTACAGTGTCATTGGGTATTGTCAAGTCCATTCGAACACAGAATGACCCCATATGGCAGAGTAGAACTATCCCATGGGGTGTTCTTGGCTCTACTCTTTATGGAAGCCAAACGCCAGGTCTTTCTCTGGAGGGACCACTGGGTGAATTTGAACCCCCAACCTTTTGCTGGGAGTCGTGGTGTGGTGCTGTGTGTTAATACACTGAACTGCAATATTGGTTTGAACCACAAAGCAAGTGGTTCAAGCTCACCAGCCGCTCCTCGGAAACCCTATACATTGTCACTATGAGTCAGAACCGACTTGACAGCACTTAACAACAACAACAACAGCAGCTGAGCGCTTAACTGCTGCACCACAAGAACTCCATAATCTGGAAACTGTAAAAAGGATTTTTCCCTTTCGTAGGCAGGAAAACTGAGGTTCAAAAAGAGTGACTCAGCTAGAGTTTGAACCTGTGATTTGGAGTTTTTTTTAGCGCCACACCAGGACTCCAATGAAAAGAGGCCAGTCCTCACCTGAGTCTCCTAATAGCTCTGCCAGACTGGGAGACGCAGTTTGATCCAGTAAAACACCAGAGAGACAGTAGAGGGCCAAAATATCAACTATGATTGTATTGGGTAACTCATTCACATGGTCTGCTCAGTAGCATCATAACCCCTAGTCACCCACATGCTGAAAAGATGTGAAAAACTAGCCGATGATTCACCATTGGCACCTACATCCCCCTAACTATTGTCATCTCAACAGCATGAGGCCAACCTCACCCTCGTCTTCTTAAACCAGTCTGTGGGTGATGCGAGTCCCCTCTTTGTATGATAAGGAAATCAAGCCCAGAGGTAGAGAGAATCATGCCAAAGCCACATAGCAGCACAGTGAGAGAATCGACCCAAGAAACCCAGTGTTCTGACCCTGGCTCTATGGCCAACTCAATTGAACAAACCTGTATTAAGTTTCTGCTATGAGCCTCATCCCCAAGTGGTGCAAATGGTTCAGGACTAGACTATTAACTGAAAGGTTTAAACCCACCCAGAGATGCAGCCAGAGAAAGGGCTGGAGATTTGCTTCTGAAAAGTCACAGCCTTGATAACGCACTGGAATGCAGGGCTACTCTGCTACACACAGGTCACCATGAGCTGGAATGGACTCAGTGGTAACTGGTTTGGCTTTTTTTAATGACCTCAGCATCATGCCAGGCCAGGGAGTCTCTCCTTTCATCACAACAATCTCTTCCTACATCTCTACTGCCTCAAGACCATGCCCTTCTCCTCCTCCATCATCTCCACCCAGGGTCCCTGCTCTCTGACTCCCAAGACCACCACCTCC